CCCTTTCTCTAAACTAGATAGACCTGCCCATGTACCTGTTATTACATGTAATGATTCTTTGGATCCGTTACGACGCACTACTCCATTAAAACTATGTTTTTCGCCTGATATCCATCCTTTCCCACTAAACTCAATAACAACATTATAGTTTTCTGATTGTATTACACTTGTTCCACTATACACAAGTATATAGTAAAATTTATAAATGTGGCGAGTGTATAAGTATAATTGATTATAACTAAGTGGTTTGGTTATTTTTATTTTTATCTCACTTTGTAAATATAAGAATATATTTTTATTACCTTATTTCTACATATGGAGACCCTCTCCATAATCCAAGAATTTGTAAAGATGGAAGAGTTATCAAATAATGTTCAGGATGATCTCTTAGGCGAATCAGTATATGTCCAACTTGTATTACAGGTACATGGGCAGGTCTATCTAGTTTAGAGAAAGGGGACACAAAAGAAAAGTCGACATTTTTTGATGTTGAAGATTCTAAAAGGGCGACTCCAATTGTAACCCCAATAGATGAACAAGGTGATTTAGAAAGTAGGAGGTTGTGGAATTATGTAGCTAAAGCTATTAATGAAGGTGATTTTGCTACTGCTTCAAAATTAAAAGTAAGTAAGAGAAAAAAATTATATTTATTATATATCATAAACAATAATAACAATGATAATTTTTTTGCTATTTTGTTAGGGTGATATTGAACAGAAACAACGTGATAAAGTTAAGAATGGAATTAAATCCGATCTTCAATATTTTGAATGGCATGATGATGATCAATTGTTTCTTAGTTTAGAAAAATTAATTGATAATAAATATCACTTGGATGATAAATATAGAGAAAAGGGTAGTTGGTTTTATAAAAAATAATGACTATAATTGAATAATGGCAGTAATGATGATGATTTATATAATATAAAAAATTATGTATAAATCAACAAGTAATATGTTATAATAAAAATTATTTATTTATTTATATAATAATTTAAAAACAAAAGATGCCATTATATGTAATTTGTTGTAGCAAATTGTTCGCCTTTAATTGTTTCTATTTTATTAGATATACAG